CTCCAGGGGAGTAAAATTATAACTTTGATTGAGAATCAATGGTTATATTTTAAATTTAGGATTATTCGGCCTCTCCTGAGTGCAACAAACAACAGCTGAGTTGTGGAGGTCTTTAAAACGTGATGTGAGAATAAAGAGAAAGAACGTGACATAATGAATGTGTTTGTTCTTCTTGGTATAAACAGCAGCCTTACTCGAGTCCTCTGGTCGTCTTTTTCGACAAGTTCTTATAATAATATCTGGTTAAACATAAATCTGGGTCATTAACATTTCCTGATGACTTGGAGTAACCAGGAGAAACCTTCAGGGTTGAAAAATGAAGTTACGGGAAGCAAAAAACTGCAGTTCCTCAAACCTTTGGGCTCCATTAGAGCTTAAAACATGAACACACACACCATGCATGGTGAAAACAAGGAATTTTATATCACATTTGTTATAGTTGTAGTAGTTAAACCATTTTTTCTAATGGATGCATGTTTTTGAAGAACAACTGGAGGCCCAAAATTGAACCCTGTGGGACTCCACGAACAATGCCGTGAAGGGAAGATGAAATAAATCTAAAAGCTGATGGCAGAGGGTCAGAAAAGTTAAACCAGCCCATTATCACTGTCAAAAAGAAAGAGCTAAAACACATTATCACAGAAAAAAGTACAAAGTACTTCACATAAGATATAAAACTAAAAGGAAGATAAAAACAAAATCATAAGGACAAACAGAGGATGTCCTGATATTGTGTAGCAGTCAGAGTTTTTCTGGGTAAATCCTGAACCATGAGAAAACTCTACTTTTTGAAATGTTCACTGAACCTTGTGACAATTTTTCAGTTTGTTTCCATATAGAAGTTTTAACCTGTATATTGTTGCTTAATCCAGCATTTTGTGTAGTTTAATGCTTAAAAAATTAATTATTATTAAATTAATTAATATTAATTTATTCAGGTTTTTCAAGATGAAAAAACCCTGAAATATAAATATAAATATAGCATACTTGTCATTAGAGGGTCTGTTTGAAATGTCTGAGTTTGGACTGTACCTGGTTCTGGTCTCTTGGTCTTCGTGAGTAGAGTGGCACATGGCGCTGAACTGAGAGACAAAGAAATCGTAGCGGCGATGGTAGGAAGGTGTGTCCTCCTCGATGTTGGCAAACTTCACGAACTGCAGAGAGCAGAGGAAGAATCAGCAAACATTCATCAGCCTGAATTTTCTGTGTGAACACAGTGAACACAGGCTCTGTGAAATTCTGAAAAGTAGTAACTGTACTATTAATAAATAATAATAATTAGAATTAGTGAATGGTACACTCCTCGAGGCGTCCACATTAGAGTAAAAAAATATTCTCAAAAAGCTTCCAGGCCTGTAAAGTGACGCCTCCTCTGCTTGCAAAAAGACAATTAAATAAGTCTGTGGGGGAAATGGCCCTGTGACCTCAGTAAGTACTTCCTGATTAATTCACAGTCTCGAGCTGTTGTTTCTTACTTTAAACAACATTAAATAAATTTTTGTCTAACAGATTATCAGCCAATCACACGTCAGCTGATGAGTCCACGCCCATCTAATCCAGTTTCAAAACACCAACCTGTCAACCGTAAAAACACTCAGGTACAGGCTTTCCTAACCAATGCAGGACAGCCATGTTTTATATATTGTCCATTTATGCAGGAACCTGAAGTCCTGAAAATGGGAAGCTGATGAATGTTTGACCTTTCACCTCAACAACAGATACAAAGAAAAAAAAAATCCCTCGATCACAACACTGATAACATGTCAGAGCATTTCCTGTGAGCCAAAGCACCGTCACATTCCTGCACACCAATTAATTTTGGAGCCAGTGTGACAATGACAATAACTATTAGAACCACCTCCCCCACCCGGCCCAGCCTGTAATCTTCTCCCTCCAAACGAGCCTCGAGTGTCCTCCAGAGAGGCCTCCTCCTCCCAGCTCAGTCGGCTGCGCTCGAGGAGCCTCTCTCACCAACCTGTCATTGTCCACTATGACAAATTGCGTCAGCACAGTTCAGCGTCAGTGGCAAAAACCACTCCGTTCTACCGGTAATTTCCTCCCATTTTGTACCTAACCTCTCCTGGGGGTAATGGCTCAGATGGAAGGAGCTATGCCGGCAGCTGGCGCACAGGAGAGTGGCTTCCCCTCAGCAGATTACGGTACTGTACTGCTGTGCTGCTGCAGAAGAGCAAATTCAAGCTGTAGGCTCTTACAGACCAATTACAGTCGTGTTTAGGAGGTAGAAGGAGAAGCTTTGGTCACAACTTGAATTTGCACGTCACACAAAGACATCCTGAAGGGCTTTAGTTTGGGTATACTCTGTAATATCCACACACTATGCACACTGCATTGTTGTAAAACCATGACTCTCAGACAAGCTCAAACTTCACAGAAAGGAGTCTGAAGTCCTTTGTGGCATTAAAAATGCTCCACGTTTTGTTGAATATGTGCTGTTTTGAGATGCCTCTCGTCTGATTTTAGGGTCTTTAATTCATTAGTGCATAAGTCTGACATTTAGTCATCGGGACGATGTATTGCCTGGGCTGAGAGTTCACTGGTGAACCTGCTGGAGTGTCAGCTTGACAGTCTGAGTGGGAGGAGGCTGAATGTTTGCCGACTCAAGCCAGGAAGTGGAATACTGAAGCTTAAACTAATTATTAGCGTGTATTCCCTTTGGCAGCGGCTCTGATTATAAGTGATGATAACCTGTAATAACAGGGCTGACTCATTTTCATGTATCGCGCGCCTGAAGCAGTTTACAGGTGTTGTACTTCCTGATAGAATTCAATTTCCTGTAACCTCATCAAACGTGACATTTCGGCATCATTCCCGCGAGAAAGTTCACAGGAAGTTTACGACAACTTGGGGGAACATCTTGAGCTGTAGACAGATTCATAACTGGCTGCTTCCTCCTGAGCCCTGACTCAGCTGATGATGATGATGATGATGATGATGATGATGATGATGATGATGATGGAGAACTCCTCGCCCCGGTAACTGTTGGACTGGGGGTTTACTCATCAGAAATCGAGTTCACCGTGCGATCAGCTGGCGGTTACTGAACGTTAAAATGTTTATTTTGATGTTATTTGCACTGTAAAGTTACTTTTCTGTATTTTACACCCATCATGTTGCATGATGTGCAATTTTTTTTGTTTAATCTGCTAAAAAAAAATTTTTTTTTTCCCCAAATCTAACTTTTGTAAATCTGTTGGTTTTTTTCCCAAATTGGGGTCTGAGCTTCACTTAAAGGCTCCGACAGAGGAAGAAACAAAGGCTGTACTGTTGACTAACGAAGGCTCGTCTGTTAGAAGCGGAGCTCATACTTCTCTGGCCATCTGCGAAGTGCTTGCAACGTGTGAAATCACAAGAGGAGAAGGACAACAAAGGCCGCAGTGAAAAGCAACAGATGGAATTCGATAAACCAGAGACGTTGACTCTGATTACGGAGCGTCTCGGAGGTATCAAGGTGTCAAAATGCTTCAAACTTTGGAGAAATGAAAATAAAAATAATCTTATTCCTACATAGTTTTTGAACTTGACCAAAACTTTCTGCTATCCATAAACTGTACACAAATCTAAACATGGAAAATTGGGTTTTGGGATAAAGCTGTAGACTGCATCTATCTCACATCTGGCTCCACAGGTTATAGATCGCAGACACATGGACTCCCCTGTGTGTCTGACTCGGTGTCTGAGTCTGGACTGATGAGCGCCTCTTCCATTGAGATGGAGTGAAGGAAGCGCCACTTCGAGCCGTCACAGTTTGCCAATTTCTTGTGATAAAGTTAACTGGGAGATGAATTTGTAAAGCGTGAACGGCTGGCAGCCAGACAGCAGCAGAACACAGCGGTCACACACATTTATACTGGGCACGGTAAAAAATAGGAAAGCCAGTGGGGCTGTAGGAGGAAAATGATTACATTAAAGGTGACAAATGTTGTTTGGTTTAATGAAAATGTCACTGTTAGACTGATTGGAACTTTTTTGGTATTATTTATATACAGGATGATTTATCACCTACCTCCCCCCACGATGGTTTGTTTTGGCTCGTTAGTCAACCGAATGTTTCCAAAGTTAACTTGCAATGGACTTATTGGGCTTTCCCTCATTGTCTGACAAACATGTCCTCGCCAAGTGCTGGATGCTCACATTAGACAACAGAAGATAAAGAGGTCCACGTTTGTACAAAAGTACAAGGTCAACTTTTTTTTCTACTGTTAGCTCTGCATGATGTCATAAAGAGTGGATATTCCTAATATGCCAATCAGGCACGGATGCCCCACCCACCTTCAGTTTACAAGGGAGAGCTAAGGGGGAGGAGCTAAAATGGACTGTTCCTTAAAAGCTACTCAGTCATCATTCTTTGCTTCTCCAGCTTGTTTTAACACAAGGTTTTAAAAACAGCCCTGAGCTCCCGAAGACCGATATTTGAATGATTTGTTGAAGAAACGCTTTTGTGCCCACTAAGGTTTCAGTGTGGATGTGGGATTTTTTTCATAATGATTAAACCAAATCACACAGCAGTGACCAACCTCGAGCTGTTGATGGATCATCTCAGACATAGTCTGGACTGAAGTTTGGTCCATTTTCGGCCTTCCTTCCCGTCGTCGTCATTGTATCAACGAGCCCAACTTCACTAGTTTTCCAAGTTTTTTTTCCAAAGTTTTGTAAGAGTTACAGTTTTGCTGGCTTTTGAGGGGCTTTGAAAAAAACTGAGGTCTGCAGCTAACACTCCATCTATTTTGATATGATATCATCCCCGCCCGTCTTTTATCTTTAAATCTAACCCTTTGCCCCTTGGATGCCTACTAGAGGAAATCCCTGTTTCTCTTTTCTGAACTGAGCAATTTCTGTTATATTTCAGGCGTGTTTCTAGAATAAGATGACGTCACAAGTTAATGTGGATGATCTCTGCCTATACAACTTACTCGGGCTACACCTGGAAAAACCTGGAATCTGTTCCAATGGTCGTCAAACCGCGTCTTTATTGAGCTATAAAGTGACATGTCCAAACTACTCATTAAAACTCTCTTTCTGTGGTTCCTGCTCGAGAATGATGCGCCCAACATGAACTGAGTGTTTCTCTGCGATCACAAACTCCATGTAAACCATCTTGGTATGAAGAGTATGAAGTATGAAGGTATACAAGCCACTGTGTCACAGTAACTGAGGATGGAACAGAAAGATTCTTTTCTTCTTTTTTTTGCACTTTAGAACCTTTGAAAATATGCTGCAATTGCCCAAAAACTGCAGAAAACCACGAATCAACATGTGGAATGAATCAACATCTGCAAAGTTACAGAGGTTGTAGTACAGACATAGCAAGACATTTTGTAATTTGGCACCAGAAAATGTCGATGTCCGATGGGAAGCTGCTCTTGAAGCACTCTGGGGCGTTGAGTTGTTCACAGTTTTATCGCTGTTAAGTTTTGGAAGATAGAATGCGTTTGTGTTTACATCGTTACCTGCCTTATAATTGTTTGTTGTTCTGTTTTGCGGTCGGAGAAATGATTTTTGTGAGTTTTGAGCTGAGATTCTGATGTTTGTGTGGATACCACAGATGTCTGTATTTAAACAACAGACCTGGCAACACGTGGAACCAGATGTTTGGTTCACCAGGTTGCGGGAACAGGGGAGGTTGTCAAACGTCATATTTATGGAGGAAAGGATTAAAGACACTTTTATGTAACTAACTTTCCCCACCAGGGGGCATTTCCTCTAAAGACGTCGTCTTTTTCCAGTCCTGGCGTTTTAAATTGTAACGTGTTGTTAACGACTTGTATGATTGACTCACTGCATCATTTTGTGGTAAAATTGGTAGAAGAATTACTTCAGCTTCTGCTCTTCAACACGACGACTCTGTGTTATGGACAAAAATTCATAGCAGTTTATTTTGATGCTTTAAAACACAGACATTCAACATAAGCACCTCTAGGACTCTAGGAGTTGACCTCCTCTTGTTTGCTTGTATGAAGGACATGAAGTTCTTCAGCTACTGTAAAGCTGTTTTGCTGCTGAGCAGCAACAACAAGCACTAAGTGTGACGTTTAAAAGTAATTAGACACCGCTGAGGCTCCGCTGAGGCCGGCCGGCTGGTTTCAAACAGTCTTTTGACCAAATTGCTGTAATTTGCTGAGCTCTCTGTGTTGGTGCTTTTCTGCAGACGTCTCAAACAAACTCATTAAACTGATAATTAGGCAACAGAGCAAACAAAGGAGCTCCGTTTTGCTCAGCTGCGCCACAAAACCAAACGGAGACATTAAACGAAACGTCTCCGTTTGGAGCCGGCGCCGTAAAGGAAAATTTAATTAACACGGCTCTCACCTAAAGACGGCGAGCACCTTCCAGCCCCCCGATTCAGCTAACTGCTCTTCTCTTCTGTCAGTCTAAATACCACACATAAATAATGCAAAGGCTTTCACATCTAAACCTTGGGCTCGGTTTCCTGCTCGGATGAAGCCCCAACAATGGAGACAGACAGGCTCAGAACAGGAGGCGGCATGAAGGAAAAACTTCGGGTTCACCTTCAGAAGAAACAGAAGGAGAAACGGGGCTGACATTTGCTGGCGGCTTAGAAGCTAATAATAATTAGAGTCTTTCACGGGATGTGTTACACGACAATTTCCTCTGTGAGAGGAGAAGTGAAATGAGCTATTAAAGTGCCGACATCAACCACTGACGTATTTGACCTGCTTTGATTTATGACCTTATTTTTTTGTGTGTGTCAAAAACGTTGTTGTGGCTTTAATCTGGAGGATTGTGGGCTAGTCTGTGATGGGAAACATACGAAGTATGAATAAAGCAGAGTCAACAATAAAATCCTGGTTGCTGCTGAGAGAGTATCCGCCTGAGATTAAAAGTAAAATCAAGCTCAAAGTGAGAAGAGCAGAAGCTTTTTATTGCACGCAGTTTACAGCGTGTGAAGGGAAGTTCTGTCCAGCCAACATCTGCAGCGTCTGCAGCTTCAAAAGCTGCTGGCATGCATGATGAAGGCACACCAACTGTCCTATCTATGCAAAACAGGCTGTGCGTCACCTGACATGCTAACGCTTCTTCTTTGTAAGACCATTTGTGGAATGTGGACAGAGCACAACACCTGGGAGGCGTTTTTTAAAAGAGTGAAAGAAAGTGCAAGTGGAAGCAAAGTTCTCTGAGAAACCATGTTTTGGTTTCCGATGCTGTAAAGGATTCATTTAAAGGTAATCTGTACACATTCATCTTTTTCATAATCCACAGATTAGTCTGGATTACCTGCTGTACCAATTGGCTTCACTAAGGTTACAGTTCACAGTGTCTTTATCAACACATTTCTGCATGCTCTCCTCCTCCTTTCCCTTCATCTAGAAAAAAGGCTTCGAGTGTGTGTTTCTGTGTTTTCGTCTTACCGAGTTGGTTCCCAGCACCTGCAGGTCTGGCTCTCTAGACTCCAGCAGCTTGGCCACCATGTGCAGGAAACTCTCCACGAAGGGTTTGATGCTCTGAGAGTGACACGCCATCAGCAGCTGGTCCAGAGCCTCCATGGCTATCACCACATTCCTGCACACAGCAATAAGCTTTACACTCAGGACACAGGAGCTTTTCAACACCTGCACGTTTACAGAAACACTACTCCGGATGTATGTCATAGGGGGAGAGGTCTAAGCAGAGACACCCAGACCTTGCCTAACCCACTACCTCCTAATGTGCTAACTGAACAGTTTTTTGAGGCTCTTCTCTATTTAAAAACAGAAGCAGCAAAGGGTGGAGACGAGAGATTGGTTCTGAACAGAGGATGGTGCGGCAGATGTGTTTAGATCAAAATACACAAAAAGAGTGGGTCACTGTCGGGTTGAAAGTGTCTGTGCACTGAGCACATTATTGCATGATGTAACTTTACAGCAGCTCCACCTGGAAGGAGAAGGCTGACGTTACAGACCCGAGCATGCAAACATGTCGCCTTGCTGGGTGATGAGCGGTCTGGTAAGGGTGCGTGGATGCCGTGCAGAAGGTAGACGCGTCTAGTCTCTGACCGTCATCCTCAGGGAAACAACATCAGAGCCCATTCAGACAGAAAGTCTGACATTATAATGGTTGTATCGATTCAGTGCTGACAGTCTTCTTTCAGAAATACTTCAGGGAGGTTCTTTGTTCCGTCTCTCAGCTCATTTTAATTACTTTCCAGAGCAGAAATGGAAGTGGACGAGACTTTTAATGTCACTGCACTTCTTCTGATGACTTTTAATGACAGGTGGCTGGACAGTCTCCTTCACTTTCTGTTTTTAAATGTCACCTAGTATTTCTGAACCTCGGGCTGACTGCGACTGCTTTCATCCTGTTTTTCAGCATCCTTACGTGTCTTTGCTACGTCGCACTACATTCTCAGGTATTTTTCCCTCAGAATTTTTTCTCTTGTCATTTCCAGATTTCCAGTATTTTTTTGGCAAATTCATTTGCAGCTCACTGTTTCACAGGAACTGTGCAGCTTATTCTCCTCCTGCTGTCTCACTGAATCTGCATCATGAATTGAAGCTAACAGCATTTGCTGTTTGAGGTGATGAAGGGTTTTCCGGGATAAAACACATTTATCTGGTGCTTGGGACTTAACAAGTCAAACACCACTCACCCGTAGCGGTGTCGCACCACGTCTCTGCTCAGCTTCTCGGCCAGGTAAGCTCCAATCCTGTCCAGTTTCTCTGGAGCCGACACGGCGTAGAAGGTGAGCTTCTCCATGTCCGACTTACTGAGGCCATCCTGGAAACAACAACGCAGTCAGGATTCAGAGGATTTAAACAAAGCCTGCTAAAACTATCTTCTGTCAACACTGACGGATCAGATGATGCACTTTGTCATATAGAGCATCGCATGTAGAGCAGGCTTCCTGAACCCAGAGTTACTCCAGCAGCGTTCAGAGCGTGAACGTTCGACAAACATTTAGGCGTAGAAAAAAGTGCTTGTGCAAATATGTGAAACTGGGTGAAGGATACGTGTTGTATAAAATGCTTTGAGTGCTCAAGCAGAGTAGAAAAGAGTTACATAAGAACCTGTCCACTTAAAATATAAGCTGCTTCAGCCTGCATACAGCCACTACTGCCTCTGCAAGCCACTTTGCAACCCACGTCTTCTTTTAAAAGAGTTTATCTGTTGTCACTGATGCTGTCCTGTCCACTTGGCTTTCATGCGTGCACATGAAGCAGGGCGATACCAAAGCAGAGCCGTAACACAAATTATAAATCAGTGCAGTTTTAACTAAAAACACATCACAATCTTCCCGTATGATTGAAAATAAACTCAGTGCCTTTTAAGACATCACAGCACTCTGTGCTGAATATGTTTGAATTTTGCTGATCGGACGAAACACGAAGCTCGACGACATCACTTTGATTCTATTTTGCTTTTCAGGGTTATTTTACACACGATGCGATGAAGCTGAATATTCATTGCTATTTGCAGCCATCGCTCATCGATGATACAGATTTTCTGCGGTACTATAATAAAGTAATAAGAATATTCTTACAATACTAAAAAACCTGGACTCGATGTGGCGATCAAAAAGGTTGGATTGAATTCTATCAGATGTAAAGATGAAGAATTAAAAACTTGAACATGTATCTGGTATTGCCAGCTGTCTCCTCCAGCTCTTTCAGGACCGAGGCGTTCCCAAGCCAGCCAGGAGACATCATCTCTCCAGCACGTTCTCCGCTCTGAGCTCCTCACCCTGCATCTCTAAAGCTGGACCCAGACTCACAGGAAGCTCATTTCCAGCTCTCGTACCCATGATCTCAATTTCTCATTGTCAGAACAAAAACGAACACTTATTGGTAAAACAGCAGGTTCATCGCACGGCAAAAATCAATCTGTCAAAGTTCCAGTCAGACTCTTTCAGTCGATCAAAGTCATCTGAATCCTTCTTTTAACTTCCTAAACTTCATTTTGTGGCACTGACATTAAAACCAGTGGACTGTGAGTGTGTTTAATTTGGCTTCCCTGACATGGATGCAAACGAATGAGCGCCACAGATCAGTGCTCAGAAACATTATAGAGACTGAAACTGCACATTATCAGAAATTATTCATACTGAAGTCCAATTACTGCAGCGTATTCACGGCCCTCTCTTCACTCGGGGTCCATTTCTGCCTCGTTAAAACTAACGAGAGCTCGTTCCGGTGTAGGGATTCAGATTCTTCTCTATCAGAGTGCTCAACCTCAGGACTTCAATGCTGTACTGTAGTCAACACGTATACATACTGTATGTACTGACTGGCCAGAGGGGGGGAGTTGATTTGAGACCGGCTGTTCCCCGAGTGCTTTCAACCCCTCGGGCGCTCAGTGAGAGATAATTAATTGGCCGAGGTGTCGATCGTTCAGGCATTTTGATTTCCCACTGCACATGTTTGCTTAAACCAAAAGGTCCTTGAGAAGACGTGTGGGGAGGACGCGAAAAAAAAAGAAAGAAAAATCCCTCCCCTGAGCGCCGGACCAACCGCACACACGTGGCGTTTTAATTAACACGCGTCAAAGAACCAAACAGGTGAGAACAACTTGTGGTGGTCTGGTTATCAAAGCCACGTCACATTTAACAGGCAGAATTATCAAAGTCTGAAGCGTTCATGCGGTCGACCAATTATCTCCGTGTTGTGTCGATGAAGCTCGTCAGTGGGCGTGTCGCCGGGTCTCCACAACAATCCCAACGGTGTGATAAGACCCGAGCAGCAGACGCAGCGCTAACACACCGAGGAAGCTACAGACTTCTGTCTAACAGACTCAGTCTGAAGGTTTTCTGCTTCCTTTGTCTTTTGTAGCACAGCGTTTCTGATCAAATGCCAGCAGGACACAAACTTCTCAGTCCATAAAAACACAGCGGAGGATGTTGGGAAACCCTCGCAGCTTCCCCAGAGCAACAGATAAAGGATCAGTAGAACAAATCTGACACGTGGCCTCACACATGAATGCACAAATTAGTGTTAGTAAAGGTCTTTAGGAGCGCTGTTTCAGCTGTGTTAAGGTAAAAATCTGATACTTTACTAATCTGGATGTAAAACATTTTCACTTTAATGGTAGATTTTAGGCAGCGGAGGTCACGTCACACCTGGGTCCAGTCTTTGTGTATTTGATTAGATTAAATGTCCTATAGGGGAGACAACAAACATGTAAATGTGTTTGCAGGTACTTACTTTGGGGTCCTCGGGGAAGATGTTGTCCACCAGGCGTTTGTACCTCGGCCTCAGTGGCCCACAGCAGCCGCAAACTCCTGCAACGAAGACAGAAATGGCCATCAGTGAAGCCTGACCTCCAACTTTCTGTAATTACAGCTGTCTTCATGCCTCACAGACAACAGAAAACTGGGGGCAAGAAATGGAGCTTGTAACCCTTTTAAGTCAGAGTAGCTGAGGACGAAATGTGGCGCTTTCAATCGGATCGATGGAACCTGACTGTAAAACACATTCACGTTTCCTCCTGTGACTCATGGGCGAGCGCCTGAGACAATCCAAACTTACTCTGGAGTCAGGAGCTCGCTCTGATAGGTCACCTCGTATTGACCAACATGAATTAGCATTACAAGCAGCAGCCCGGGAGTCAATACGAAAGTGATGAGTCATCAGATTGGAGGATCGGCGGCGAAGAAGTCCTCACGAGGGGCATCTGACTCAGGCGAGTTCATGCAGTGTTCAACTACTGCGTACTTTATGGCCATTTCTTTCTAAGCAGTTAAATCCAAGGTGAGAATTTGTCCTTTCCTAACATTATCCAGTAATTCTCCTAACGTGGGGCTGATGCAACATGAAACATCATCATCTTTCTGTCCCGGCAGGCCTCAAACTTCACGTGCACACAGAGTTGTGAACGCTCTTCCTGACTGATGACCTCGACCGTCAGTGCAAAGTGTCATCAGTGAAATGTCAGCGTTTCTGCATTCAGAGGAGCAGCAGACCACAGCCGAGGGGTCACGGCAGCGCCGCGCTGCCCTGACAGTCGATCAATGAGGCAAAACATTAGTACGAGGGGAAGCAACTCTAAACATCTGAAATGAGAAGGACAACAGCACTGTGCACACTCGAGCCACCACTCATTCTTTATGCTTTGTTTCCTTCCTGGAAATGATCAAATGGTTGAGAGCAGCAGTTCCCCAAACTTTGAGGCTCCAGAGTTCTGATTTGGACATTGGTGCTTTTTCACCACAGAAGTGCTGGCTTAAGAGTTTCACACAGCACTGCATTTGTAAAGGTTTAATAAATGCAAGGTGTTTATGGAAGCAGTAAAAATGTTTAGCAGTTCTGTAACATTGTGTTAAAATAATACAAATATAACAATTTAGACCTTGACCTTAATTCTGAGAGACTAAGCAGGAGTTGTTGTTGTTGTTTTTTTTACTTCAGACTAAATTTGAAAAACTATTGGAAACCACCAAAAATCAATTAAGGAATTAACAGCATGTAAATTTGGCTCAAGCTGAATCCAAATGCAGAGAATCAGATGAAAGGAGAGAAATCCTCCAAACATGATCGTCCAAAACACCAAATAACACTTCCCAGAATTAAATTTAAATCCATCAGCTGCAAAGAAACGTTTAAACGGCTTATGAAGCCGGGCGTCATTTATTGATATTTCTTAAAAATCAATCAAGCTCGGTGCTTTGAGCGGGCAGCTGGCTCACAACCATCAGAAGATCCAGCTCCAAAAACATCTGCACCAACGCCTCCTCACGCTGCTGATGTTGGAACATTTTCCCAGAAACAGGTAAATAAAACATATTCTCACACTTTGCCTTAATTTTAATTTTCTGTGCTATAAAACCTGAAAAAAAAAAAAAAAAAAAAAAAAAAAAAGGGGGGGGCAGCACGGTGGCAAATTCCACCATCAGGCCGGGGTCTTTCTGTGTGGAGTTTGCATGTTCTCCCCGTGTTTGCGTGGGTTCTCTCCGGGTACTCCGGCTTCCTCCCACCGTCCAAAGACATGCAGCTTGTGGGGATAGGTTAATTGGATAATTCAAATTGCCACTAGGTGTGAATGTGCGAGTGAATGTGAGCGCGAATGGTTGTCTGTCCCTGTGTGTTGGCCCTGCGACAGACTGGCGACCTGTCCAGGGTGTACCCCGCCTCTCGCCCTATGACAGCTGGGATAGGCTCCAGCGCCCCCCGCGACCCTGAAAAGGATAAGCGGAAGCGAATGGATGGATGGATGGATAAAACCTGAAAAGGAGAAGTTTCCACAGACTGACGGCGAGACAGATGTGGCGGTGTGGGTGTGTCATCAGGATAACACTTTGCCAAGATGTTTCTAATCCATTTATTGACTAAATACCAACATTTTTTATTTTATTTTTTTAAATTTTATTTTCAGTTGTTACACTGAATACCAACATTTAAAGGCAGATTATGGGAAACAAAAGCAGAAATGCTACTTTCTCCATATTCCTCCGCTTCCCTCCTCAGACTCAGAACACTAACTTCAGGGATCAGGCCTGGAACATCATTTCCCAGGAGCCCCTGCTGCTGACACCCTTCATAAGATGGAAGGTGACTGTAACACCTCCAGAGAGCAGTCCTCGGGGGAGCCTGCAGATTACCAACTTCATTAAGGCTTGTATCAACAACCTGCCGCCACTTTAAAGCGTTCATTACAGATCCTACAATTGCCTGCCACATTAGGGCGGCGGGGGGAGCGGCCGTCTGTTAGTGCAACTCGTCGGCTTTAATGGAATTCAGCTCCGACGCTCTACACCTGTAAGCGCGACACAGAGACTCTGACAAAGTCACGTTGTTCACAGCCATGAGCGTGTGCACGTCCCTGCTTTGCTAATTCTGATTTAAATCTTCGTGTTCATGTCTTAACCAAAGTTTTGGCCTCGTTATTGTGACCGTCAGCTGACACGACTTTCATGTCCATCACAGCGTTGCACATCAACAGTTAGGCCTCTAGAATGAGTAGAATCAGAAGCTTCTTCAGATTAAACATCGCGTTTGTGCCTCTCGCTGCAGTCATCTTAGACACGGCTTATTTACAGCCTTCACACTTGAAAAGGTGAAGACGCATGAATGTAAACGCGCACATGCTGGGCTCTTGCAGAGACACAGCGTGTGTGTTTGTGTGTTTGCAGACGTTGAGGATGAAGTGGAAACACCTGGGAGGCCGCGGCTCCTCCTGCGCGAGGCGTTCAGGGACAGTAGATGGATCGGGCCAAACACGGCGCTGCAGAGGGGGGAGGTGGTGTGACAGCTTTCTGTTTCCATCCTCGTTAACTCGCCTCTCATTCCAGCGTCCGCAGCAGCTCAGGGTGAAAATGCATCCGCCTTTAAAGGACTAGTTTAAAGAGAGGCTCAAGGCACATGTGTAGTTATCATATAATCCCGCTAGCTCCGCCCTCAGGGACCTTCAGGGGTGTATTTAAAAAGTCAGGACCCTTCCTCAGTGAAACTAACTGAGTGAAGTATCGTTCTGTCAGATTCTCTGAGCACCATCGGTATTCCTCTACCTCCTGACTACACTGAGGTCAAGGAAAAGGAGGCAGAGGTCAAATTTTGGACTAATCGAGTGCACCCGGGCTCCGGTGCTCAGCTTCCTCTTTGCCAAGCCGTCTGTCTCTTGACAGCTCTAATGCTTCCTTTAACATCTGGTCCTCTTCGCCTTGTATTTTGAGCTCTGATCCTTTTTTGATCAGTTTACCATCTCACTGCGTTTCCTGGACCGCCTTCAGCCACGCTCAGCTCGTCTGTATGGAGGCACCAACAGCAGAAAATGAACGACAGCAGCTTTAAATTACATTAAACCTAATTCTGGTTTCGAGCATCGTGACTTCAGCGCCGTAATAGAGGCGATGCATCAATTCAAGCATTGCGCTGCAGAGAAGGCTGCGCGACTGCTGCGGGCTTCAGACGGAGAGACCGTGGTGGTCGTTCAAACACACACACAAATAAATTACAAACACGCACAACAAAGTGAGCGGGCTGAGGAGAGGCCATTACAGAGGATGGAATCCATCATCCTGCAGCGACGAACACAAAGGCGGGCGGACGTTGGTTAACACGTCCTGACAAACCGCTGGAGTCATGCAGCGAAGCATGAATCGCCACTAAACGTCTGAATCCACTTCTGTCTGCAGTGGGTCTCAATAGCTTGTAGCACGTGCTTTAATCACAGTTGCATGTTGGGTAGAGATTTGTCATCAGACAGTTGCTTTGCCCCCGAGCAACACCTGAGTACTAACATCATTTTTCTTGGTTGATATCCAGCCCAGCACAGAGCTGCACGTGTGTTTGATTAATCAAATATTATGGTTTGCATTTTTATGTGAAGTGAAAATAAGAAGCTAAAGCAGGAGGATCACAGAGCTGCAGAGGTAAGCACGATAAACTCAGATTTCTGAAACTGTTGCTCGGAGATTTTCTGCTCGTTTGTCACATTGAGTCTAATATCTGTGTCTCGTTTTAATGAGAAACCAACCAGACGGTGATTAAAATTTTATACTGAACTGAAGCGTCGTGTTTGTCCTTCTTGTCTAGTTTAGTACTTTATTTTTCTTTACTTCAGAAAAGTTTAATGATCATTAAACTTTTTAAACAGAAGAGTTTGAAATGTTGGTTAAATAGAAAAAAAACAAACGTGGGGTCGAGTTTGACCTACCGGAGCTCACGAGGCCTCGTCTGTTTGAGGAGCGGTTGTAGCTGAAGGCTCCGTCAGCCTCGGTTCGAGGCACCTGCCTGTATCTCCTCAGGATACCCCTCCTCACATTACCACAAAATGACGGCATAATTGCAGAAAACTTCAATTTATCCCAACTGTGGTCCAAACAGATCCCACAGCCTCAGTGGGCAGGCATGGGTTTCTCTTCTTGGAGTAAATCCTCCAAAATGAGACTGTCTGCTCAAAAAGTAGATTCTGTGTCCGCCTCACCAGTGACACCAAGAAAACGTTCCAGCTTCACCTTTTCATGCTTTTTCCCTGGTACAGGATCAGCATCACATCTGTGATGGACAACATGCTCAACCACTGGGCTTCGAGCTGGAGCTGCCAGTCTACAATCACCTGGGATTACCCCACGTTCTGGCAGAGAAGACGACACCCTGCCGGGCCTAATGTAGGTCTGTCCACAGGGTCTCGGGTTACCGGCCTCTGCGCTCACTGGAAAACGTAATCCAACACAGAGACGGGGACAAAACCTGGCAACAGAAGAGCCTCAAAGTGTCTCTGACATCATCTCAGAGCAGGAGCTCAGTGAGAAATGAGAGGAACATTAACCTGAGAACCACAAAT